TCGGGTGAGGGCAGGCACCGCCCTCCGTCGCCACAGCCCCGCCCCCCCGCCATGTTGTTAGCTCGCCTTCGCGTCTCTTCGCGCCTCTTCGCGCCTGCCCTGAGGGGGCCGCGGGGCAAATCCTGAAGCGAGCACCGAAACCGGAGTTGCGCTATCCTTTAATTAGCAAAACGGGGAGGTGAATGATAGTTATGAATACAACCTCTAACGTGGATTTGAAACACCCTTTTCTTGCCACAAATAAAGGCTTCTTACAGTTCTCTAAACTGACTCCCTCACCCCCTTTTCTTCTGCATTATACTAGCTTGGAATACAAGGCAATTGATAGATAAGATACCTGAGCTTTTTTCCAGAAACAGAACTAGTACTATGCACTCACACAGTCTCCTACTCGTTGGGTCCTCCAATACTTAAATCTCATTTATTTATATGCTGCATGCCTCTTGCATTACTCCATTTCTAAGTGAGCATAAACTTCTGCATGGGAGATGCGAACCTGTCAAGTTTGTTGACAATATGCAGCACGCATCTGTGGTGGAGATTAAAAAATAATAATAATAATAATAATAATACAGTTCTATCAAAAGCCTTCAACTTTTTTTTTTTTTTTTAAATGATGATGCTTGGGTAGATGGTTTTAAAATCTAAGCAGCCCCTGTGAAGGGACAGAAATAGGGATAGGTGCGTTGCAGCCCCCAGCACGCCCCGCTGTTCCCCTTTCCGGTCCGGTCCTGCTCTTAGGAGCCTTCAGTGTCCGTGTTGTCGCTGCCGGTGGTGTTTTCCCAGTCTGCTTCATGGGGTCTGTTCTTCGGTACCCTTCGCATTGCCCTTTTTCTGAAAACAAGACTAGATATATCATTTTTAGAAGATTTCCCCCCGCCCCCCACAAACAAGTGGCATTTGAATTATGTATTGAACTTCCCCACTAAACTCCAATTAAAGTATCAAGCCACTTAGGGGTTAATCAAACATGACTGTTTTACTTGCACAACCAAAGTAAACTGTGACTGGAAGCAAGTACTGGGTAAACATAATTAGTCTAAACTGATGAAGACTTTCTTTTATATCTTGCTTTTTGTTCAGCTGACGGCAGCAAGAAATCCTAACCAAAGTTCCTTATTTAATAAAATTAGTATTGTCAAGAATCAAAGAGCTGTTTACAAGTACCATCACGAGCCTTTCTAGCTAATACAAAAACTCAGGTCTCTCTCTTACAAGGTTCTTACTGCTGTCAATCTCCATGAAGCTAGCACTCAGTGAAGACACTAGACATTTGGGAAACGGGCCCCGAAACAAGAGCGTTTGAAGAGGACTGAGGGTGAAAATCTGCTCCCATTCACAGTAATAGGAGCACGGTCTTGGATGTCAGCAGCACGTCAGATGGATTTCACTTGCATAAGAGAAACCTGCCACATTTATTAAACTAACAATTCTTTGCAGCCCCCTATCACAATGCTGTGGAACCATCTGCACAGTTCAGTGAAAATGTGATTGTTTCCCTCTTAGCTGCTGCTGGAACTAAAACAGAGGAATCTCAACCATTTCAGCTAGAAGCATGAGCTGTAAGATAAGAACTGTAATAGAGTTATGTCCTCTATGAACCAAGCTTGGGGACCGGGGAAGGACAGAAAAGAGGAAATATGCTCAACAAACTAATCAGTTAGTCAGTCACACAGGTATGTCTAAATTAGTTCTGCTTACTAAAGGCCAGACCTTTGGTAACGCTCAAAGCAGTCCTTCATCCTCCTCCGTTCCTTTTCTGCCAAGTCCTCGCTGGCTGAGCCACACTCTTTGAACTGGAACAAATCCAAACAAACATGAACCAAATTCACATGAAGATCAGAATTGACAGTAGCATCACGTAGTGGAAGTCTGCTCTGTAAAGAGCACTTTACAGGCACTTAACAGGCATTGAGGCTGGTCTACTGTACCTGGCCTCTTCAGGGTAAGGCTCAGGTACACTGGTGAGGAAGGGAAAAGGGCCAGAGGAGCATACAGTTACAGACCACCCAAAGAAGCTTGGTGATTTCTACTCTCAGACTTCGTTGTGTCCTGAATCATTTTACATTTAAAATCAAGGAAGAAAAGAAAAAAAAAAAGGAACCTGTGCCTTCAAATGACAAAGAAGAGCTGTTTACAGCCAAAACTGTAGCAAGTCTAGGAAAGCCCTACAGTGTCTATTGCTGGCTTCTTACATCTCCCTGGGCCTGCAAAATGAAGTACGGTGTGTTCATTTCTAGGTTGTCCACTATTATATGTGCAGGACTGTAATATATCCCTGTTTCACACAATGAGTTTCACCTTTCTGCGTTCCCTCCAATTTGTAAATCTGGAATTCTGTTTCCTGGACCAACAGTAATACTGCAGACTGTTAAACTGAAAAATATCACACTCGGTGATAAAGGCCCAAAAGTAATTAGAACAGGTTTCCAGGGACAGGGGAAAAATAACTGGAAGACGAGCGTTCCACTGTTCAGAGCTCACCCCTTTTGGAGGGTGAATTTTGCATGAAACTCTCAGCTTTCCTGGAAAAGCAGCAGTAGCTGCTTCCATGTTTCTCAAACGTGGTAAGTCCATCACTAACAAGAGCATTCAAGAGCATCACAAACTCCAGTCAGAATAAAGAAGAGCCCACAAAGATTCTCTTACTCGGGATGACTCTGCAGGCCGACTGCTCTCTTGAGTGCTAAACTGCTGGTTTTGTCCTTCCGGGTAATCTTCTAAGAGAAAGAAAAATCACAAATTTAGTTACAATTATCCTTGCGTAACTTCTCCCTCCACCAGTTTGTCAAATAGCAACAGCTATAATTTAGCAGCTATCCAATGCTACACAGAGTCAATGGCAGAACTGAAACCAAACCTCAAAACGTTCAGGATTCAGTCCTGCGATCAGTGCACGAGAGTTACTGCTCATTTTACTTGACCCCTGAATCTTGCTTAGGATGATGGACTTCCATCAGGCTTAGAGACACCAACTTTCTAGTTTCTGCCTAATCATGAGCAAAATGAACCTTGACAAAGCAGCACCTCTGCTTAGCATCATCAGAGAGCCAATCATGTTGGACCAGGAGAATTCACGTTAATCATGATTCTAACCACAAATTGTTCCCCCACAACTAAGTTGTGCCTATCGAGATATGTTACATCAGACCATATTTTAGTGGAACTCATCATATACTGATGAGGTACTGTGGATACTTGATTTTGAACTGAGTGGGACTAGAACAATGAAAGACTTTGGAACAGTGTCGTTTAACCTTTGTAACAAATCCCCCATCTTAATAGATCCTTTCAGGAGATCAGAAAGAGTTTCTTCTACTGTGCTAGTTTCCTTCCTTTCTCAACATGTTTGCAAAGAGAATTTCAAGCTCTGAGAGGACCTGTTAATTTCTCCTCACTGCTGAATCATTTCCACTGGGGATGCCACAAAAACAGAACCAGTTTCAGTGTTAATTACATGGTTCTGCTTTTGTGAAAATAACCTGCAACATTAAAGGGAGGAGGGGAAAGAAAAAACCCTGGAGAAAGCCACGTCATCCAGTTGAAGCCGAGTCCCCAGACAGACTACCTCCAAAACTTAGACCACAGGGACTTATTCCTCACTAAAAAAATGAAAAGCAGGCATGTCTTTTCCCCTCCTTTTGAAACACTGGACCATGCTCTCAGAAATTCTACTTCATGTTTTCCCAACAAAAGCCTTACGTTTATTAGTCGGCTGTGTATCTTCATCTAGATGACCATGAAGAATAAGCTATGGGACAGAAACAAAGCAAGAACATGAGAACTGCTCCCTATCCTGTCTTGGTCAGTAGCTAGGAACAGATGCTTAGGCAGCAGTGTAAGAAACAGGACATGTCCAGAACAAATCTTTCACTAGTATATCTTGCTGTCAGCAAAACGGGGGACTTTTTGAGCCAGAAGTTACGGAACTACTCATGGATTTATTCTCCATGAATGTATCCAGTTCCTTTTGGCCTCGTTTATACTTCTGGCTTCCAGACAACGTGACAATCACTTCCATGACGAAATTATACACTAAGTAAGAAGTCTTTACTACAGATCTCCCTTGCGTAATAGCGATAGTTATTTTTGCCTGTCCTCCTGCAAGAGAGACAGTTAGAAAAAACTCAGAATCATTCAATTCCCCTAAAAGGCTCAGAATTCACAAATTTGGCTGACAAATGCCATAACTGCATACCTGCACTTAGAAATCTCATGACACTGGGAGAGTCTATCACTGTTCTGCTTTGCTGCCTCTATACTTTTTGGTGCCACTGAAACAAAACTGAGCTGTGAACTGAAAACTGCTACTATTTGGGAAACTTAGCACAGCTGAGGAATCCAAAATCATCCCAGAAGCTCAAGGTAAACAAGGCACCCTACTCACTTCCTGGGAATTTCTGGGGGAGGTGTCATCCAGGTCAGAAGTCTGAAATAAGAAAGCCAGTAATTTAATCATTTCTTACAAGCAAGGAAGTGGCAGTCAGGGATATACAGGAGACTGAAAGCTAGAAACAGAAGTGTAGACTTCCTCCCTCCCACAATCCTGTCTGACCACTTGGAGAAAGCACACAAAATGCCATGATAATTAAAAGCCCCAGGAACTTTCGTACCCTCCCAGCCTGCTCCAGTTTAACCCAAATGGCTCATATGTGGTCTCTATTTAGAGTTCACTCTTTGGTAGCTGAGGATCCCCTCATCATCTTTGGACACACTCCAAACACAACCAAGAAAGGCCTCAGCTTGCATCAGTCCAGCCTATCCCTGCCTGAAACCAGGGTGAGCCAATAGGAACCATCGTGTCTTTCATTTTCCTAGATAGCATTTCCGTGCAAATAGCTACGCAAGCAGCTGGCTGCCACTTGCTGAATTCAAACTTGTTCTAGACAATGTTAGGTTTGGAGGCCTCGAACGAGCCACGTTCTAAGTCTCTACTCAACTTTTCAACCCTTCGTACACGTAACATTCCCACAGACATACCGGTGTCGGTAGCTCCATTTGCAACCTTTTCAGCTTGGCTTCAGTAGCCAGTAACTGACTCTCCTTTTGGAACAACTGCAGTTGCATTTCATCACATCGCTCCCCCAGCTCCCGAATCTGCTTCCGGTAAGCATCCCTCTCAACCAGATTCTTGGAGTACTGCGTATAGAACTGCTCTCGGGTCAGGAGTGCCTGGCATAAGGGGCAATATATCATGGCGTGTCACACGACAGTACATTCAGAGTTACAATATCTGCTTGCTTCAAGCAGTGATCCAGGAAGGAGCAACTCCCAGAAGAGTATTTTATCACCTGGTCTCTTTCTGAAGCCACTTCCTCCATCTGTTGCAAGACAGCTTCAATCCGCTTCTTGTACATCTGAGAGTCCTTCCTCAGAGACATGCACTGTAGCTCAAGCATCTCTTTTTCCTCCGCGTGCTATTGAGACAAGATCAAAAACACCCTGTGTGGTGCAAGTCAGGGATATACGCTCCCCTCTTCTGTTCTGTGCCAGAGAATGCTACAGCCAGACTTCCATGCAATGCTAAAGTTCAGCCAGGAACAAGGCCAACCAGAAGGCTGGTCAAGATGACTAGGAGGACCGCTGACATGATGGATTTATACGTACCTGAACAGCTAATCGTAATAAAAGCTCCCACCCCGCTCCAAGCTGGGGCATGGACTATTGACAGACACAGCATCAACAGGTGACATTGCTAATGGTACAGAGAGAGAATACTAAAATAGTAGTGTGCCTTTCTCCTCAAACGATATCATGAGCAATAGAGTAGGAGTAGCAGGGACTGCCGCTGAGCGACTCCTCTGCTCCATAGGCAGGACAGCAGCTGTTATTGCAGGTGCTTCATCTGCCTATCTAATCCCTTGCCCTCCAGCAGTAATTTTTCCCGCACTGCGTACTTTGTCTTGGAGCACCTCGGCTCGCCGCAGCTCCTTACGAAGGCTGTAAATGGTGTTCATCAGCTCCTGGTGTTTTTCTAGCATCTGGCTGCAGTCATTCTCCAGAACCTCCTTGGAGAGGCTGTTCTCCAAATTCTGTTCCCTGGCAACCTGCTGGACAAAGAAGAAACTGAGATAAAGCAACCAGCTAACTCCATGTTAACTTTCCCCCCACAGTCCTACATGCTCCATTTGACTTGAGAGAAGAGGGCCATAGCTGACCCGCATGATCTTCACTGTGGCCCCGTCATTGCCCTGGCTGCTACAGATGATTGCATCTCAGAAGCCCATATCCAACCATCCCCCACCAACCTGGAGAGTGTTCTCCAGCTCCTGATTCTTGGCCAAAAGCAACTCCTTCTCCTGCTGGATCTCCCACATCACCTCGTGGCTTGGGCGCTGCTCTATAGCATGCTTCAGTTTCATTGTGTGCTTCCTCTCCAGTTTGCAGTCATCCTCAGCCTTCATGAGGCTGTGCTTCAAGTGATCAATCTACAAGAAGGTTCAGAGCTTATCAGTAACAAGGAGAAAATTCTAGCCTGCAAAGGCAGTTCTCTCGTGGCAGAAATCTCACTCCATTCCCCAGACAAACACAGGGGCAAGTTCCTGCCCCATCCTGTTCTCCTCTGGGAGTTTGGTGCTCTGGGGACTGGAGTCCTGTCTGTGTGCTGAATGGGTACAACAGCATGCTGCTCCTGTACCACCCTGGCAAAAGGGCCCAGTCCTGATTGAGGGGGAAGCTTGTTAATTTTTCCCAGCCAGCTTGTAATACAAGGGCCTACAGGGCTCAGCTAAGGGCCACAGAGAGATGCCACCTGCTAGAGAATACGTACGGTACCCCATGCTGGACTGGTCCAGACCATCCTGGGGCAAAGCTAAGTCAGGTGCACAGCATGGCCTCCCAGGGATCAGGTAAGAAGGGGGAAGCTCAAGGAAAGCGTAAGTGACCTCTAGGAGCAGGTCCCGGTTTTTCATGAGGGCAGCACTCTTCTCCTCGCTTTGCTTGGCGTAGCTCATTGCCAGGTTGTAGTTCTCATCTTTGCACTTCCGCAGCTCTTTGCTCAGGCTGTCTCTCTCCTCCTTCATCTTCTGTGCCCGCTCCTGGTGCTTCTGCAGCAGGCTGTCCCTCACCCACATCTCTCTGATCGTGTCCTCTTTGGTGCGCAGCCACATGGCGAGCTCCTGGGCCTTTCGCCGCTCCTCCTGCATGGCGCTCTGCAGCTTTGTGATCTCGTTCATCAGGAGCTGGCTTAGGCCGGATTCCCCAGCAGTGTCTGTTAGGTGGGCAGGCGTCAGCCAGTGCTGTCCTGCCTGCTCCCCCAAACACACACAGCACAGCCCCCCGCCCCCAAACTTATCCCTGCAGCTGGGGCTCATCACAGGCTCCCCTCAGGGCACACACAAGCAGGCAAAGCCCTGAGGACACATGACCAAACTGTCCATGCTGTCTCGCCCCTGCCCCTCCTCTGTTAACATCTCAACATCACTGACAGAACAACAGGCACAAGGAAGAAACAGTCCTTCCTACTTCCTCCTCCAGGTCCTCCCAGGTCCAGCCTACGATGCTGCTAGGGGCAGTTCTTACCAGTTAACCCGAACCCTTCTCAAACACACAGGGAACTCTGCTCACCTGAGCTGGGGAGAGGGAGAAGTGGAGGTGAATTTCCCCTTAAGCCACAGAACAACGTCAAATGAATAGTTGTTTTTCATAACTCGAGCATTACCTATAATCATAGAGAATACCCTGCTGGGGTCCTTGCCAGTTATTTTCTTATACAGTTGTGGATAATAAAGCTCAAGACTCTCAAGAAATGCCTCAAAGCCTTTGTGTCCTGTCCGCTGAAGAATGTCCAGAAGAACACCTGAAATAATAGCAACAGGCTTTTTTCTATTCATCTGTTTATCTCTACTCATTTCTAAGAGAACAAGACGTTGTTTTACCTTCCCCCCACATGCAGATTAAAGTTTCTGGAATCAAATTCCCAGGCAAATCCTAAGTCATTTGCCAAGTAATTATACAAGAGTATTTTAACTGTGGAGGAACAGTTATCAATTAACCCTTGTACCTAGCTCCTGCTACAGTAAGTGCAAAAAGCAGATTTCAGAAGGAAACTTTATGTACACTGCAACAATTTCTGCAGCTCAAGGTTCTGCTCCCAAATATCAGAAGTGAATATAGGAGAAAGGAGCCACTAGCATACACGAATAAACAGGCAGCAGAGACAGGCCTAAGAGAGCCTGGACTAAAAAAACTTTGAACTCAATTCCCTATTCTGTTTAGAAATACTCCATCCCAAATCAAACACAGAGTGCATCTCTCTTGTTTTCCACAGTTTCCCAATCCAATAGGAAAAATAAATCTTTCGCTATGGCCTTCAGTAATTTATCAGTAAGTGTTAGCAATGCAACAGGTGTGCTGGTAGCATAGTGAATCTCATCGTTCTCTCTAGTTAAAACAAGGCCAGGACTCTACAGAAACAGTCATGAAGAATTTACTTACATTTTTTGCCAGCATTCAAAATGCCAGTAGATAAGATCAAGGGACAATAAATGCTGAATTAATCTCGGAAATATTGGAATTTCCACTCCCTCCAGACTACTACATAAGAATAGCCCAGTGGGTCAGACCAAAGCAACTCCCTTATGCTGATGATCTAGAGTTCAAGAATATTAAATGGCTACTCATCCTCTATGCTCCTATCACCTTTACATAGCTCAGGCATGCCTCGATAGAGCCACCTCCATTTCTCCTCTCCCCTGCAACGATGTGCTGGGGAAAGAGGCTGCACAACACTGCCAACAACAGTTTGAATACAGGCAGATAATAAATCAAAAATGACTGTTTTCTTCAGGCCCAGTGCATTAGAATCTGTGTTCCAACCCACTGCCCAGAGCCAAGAGACCTTGTTGTCCAGGGAGTCAAAGGTTGCACTTCACCCACCTGCTTTCCGTTTGCGCATGACCAGGCTGGGGTCATTAAGAATTTGTTCTTCATCATCATGGCTAATCACTTGGCACTGGCGAAGATATGGTGTTATACGGGAAGGTTCTATCACAGAGATCAGCTTCACACGGAAGTTCTCCAGGTTATTCCAACACGTCTCATCGTCTTCTTCCAACATGTTGGCAAGTGACAAATATTAGCAAGCTGTGTTGTCCTTCCTTGAAAACAAAACAAAACCAGACTTTAAGCCTCCTGGAGTAGCATGGTGCTGGAGGAGCAACCAAGTACGTTAACTTACTGAGAATGGTAAAGCGTCTTTTAGATATAGGAGTACGTCTCCCACACGGTCTCCAACTCAGCGCTCGCAAATTACTTGTGGAACACGGTGATACAACGAACCGCAAGAACAGTGTACTACTAGACTGGTGATATTAGCACCAGTGGGGCTAGCACCGATGCTGCTCACACATACGTGAGGGAGAGCGAGCGTAAAATTCGCATTAACTGTTGCCTCTGCCTTCCAAAAGGTTCACGCTCTTCTTCCTCCATCGCACAAGACCTGGGAGAGCCAAGTAGCCTGTCCAGCCACACAGTCGCTAAACAGAGCATCCATGTATCCAAAAGGTTCAGTGAAAACCACCAATGGCAATAGCCTTAACTGCATTCAGCTGTAATCATAAAAAGCTGTTTTTCTAAATGCTGTCCTTGTCCATGTGTGAAGAAGGGGGACACAGTTGTGTACAGTTTATATTTTAAATACGGTGGTGTAAATCACGCACTGTTACTTAATCAGGCAGCCACAAGGTCAGCTGCCTCTCATACCCACCACATCAGGTTTCGCATGTGCAACTACAGCAGTTTATGCTCACACATACCACATGCGTGACTGTGAAACACAGATGCGCCGGGAAACCGTGTAAGCATTCCCGTTGATGGAGAGTACATCTGCGTATTTTTTTGGTGAGAGCTTATTACAGTGCTGCCCAGCAGCAGCTGCCCATGAGGTTACTGGTTGCCACATACCGGCCCCCCAACAAGAGCCCTCTATTAATCACAGTCAGAAAAACTACTCCTTCTCGGCCACAAAGTACAGAGATAAAAAGAAACGCAGAAAACCCTATGCTTCTTTACCCAAGCTTCTTTGTCTGAAATCGGTCTGTCTATCACAATAAGCAACTAGAAGAATTATTTCTTTGTCCCTTTGTGTCTAGACTGTTTTATAATGAGTAACTTCTGAAACACCAGTCCTTAATTACCACGCTCATATCATGCATATTCGTTGACTGCAGTAACCGTATCATTTCCAGTGGCTCAGGAAGGCTGCCAGTAACCTTAACATTCATGTTTTTGTTCCTTTTGTTTTTTGGGGGAAAAAGAACCCCACACCGTTCTGACCAACAGCAGCTACACAGGGGCTGGGATTTTACACACACATCTCACTGCATCTCTCTGAGGTCACCTCAAACCTCTATTTGTTTCTCTGCTCCTGCACAGGCAAAAATTCCCAACATCTTCAGCGCTTACTTGTTACATGTCATGTGGTCAGATAGATTCAACGGGCCGGACTGACACAAAACTACTTGTTACTTATCATGGAAAAAAATAGCTTGCTCTGCCTGACAGCAAGCCAGTCCCAGCAGATTGCAAGCAGAAACGCAGTCCTCTCTTGGTAAATACCACACCCTTCCCCCAGAGCTGTAAAATCAAAAGTTCATCTCTGTAAATACAAGCCATTCTGCATTACATGGACCAACCTGGGCCTGTGCAGTCAAAAGCCTTCTTGTCTCGCTGTCCTCATACAGCAACACTCGTGTGTCCCATCTCAGAGAAAAACCTTTGCCTTTCCTGCAGTTTCCCTTTATATTCTGGCTAGATCAAAGATCATTCTAGGAGCAAAACCAGCCGAGAGAAAGAGAAAAGGGGAAGCTACTCAGCTATACTCTGAGACGGAAAGGGAAAAAAAAAAAAAAAAGGGGAAGCCAGAAGGGGTGCTGGGGGAGGAGAAAAAACCCTAGCTGTTATCACTGCAGCTCAGCAGTATTACATATGCAGCGATCTTCCACTCTGCCTTGGCTTTCCAATCCATATTGCCAGGGTCAGGAAAGCTTCCTTCCATAGTGGTTAGAAAAACTAGCATGAGTTTAAGTCACAGGCACAGGACAGTCACAGCTCTGTCCAGCTGATTTCAGGGGACAAAACAAGCCACCGAGAAGTACTACTTAGAAGTAGCCCTTCAAGATCAGTCTTTCAGCAGTTAATGCAACATCTGGAACAGGAATGCAGGTGGCAGCAAGAACTCTCTCTTGATTTAGAGATTTAGATTTTCAGCTGGAAGGGATGACTTCTGCAGTGATGTCTCCAACTTTGGACGTCCTTAGGCTTCAAGCATGATTATGACAACTCCGTATTTTGAAGGAAAGGGAGTCAAGTCTTGGCAAAGCAAGGAACATAACCCACGATTCCCAAATTACACGCTATGGCTCTAGAGTAATTGAAGGAGCAGTACAGCAAGCAGCGTTGTGACAATCTTAAGCATCAACATACCTTTGACTGCCTCCACCCCTTCCCACAGTCCTAGAATTGTAGCTGCAACAAGAACTCACTAACAGCCTGCTTTAAAAAAGTCTTGAGAATGTACATGCCGATACCATGGCAGCATGACACATCTTCCCATTAGCTTCCCACTCTACTCTTTGTTCTAGTTTCTAAGCTTCTAGGGAGTTTTCTCCATGGTTGTCATTAGGAATGGGACAGAGATGCTCAGAGATCCTACAACCCTGTGCTTCTTATTAGTCATTAAATTAGCTTTATACTAAAAAAAGATACAATGCCTCTATTAGCTATGCCCTCACTGAAGGGAGGGTAAACTGAAAGTCTGCTAATTGATCAATCTAGGCAGGTTCAAGAGTTCTTGTTCTATGGTAATAGATCAGTTTAATACAGAAAAAGGTTGAAGACAAAGGCAGCTTTTTCTGATAACGATACAAATTCTTTCCACAAGCAGTAAGATTACAATAACGGTATCTCTTGAGTGGCATTTGCCAAGGACAAGACTCATTTAGATCACAGATCCCATGTTCTACCAACGCCTTACAGGAACAACCCTGTAGTGAACAGAGCACAAAACTGAATGGCAGACCTTCTGCCACACATCAATTTCTTGGAAAAGAGGTGATTCATACAGGCCTGTGGAAGATAAAGCATTCCCTGAGAGAGGTAAGCTATTTCAAAATCCTTCCTCCTGCTCCATAGCGTCTTGGCACTCAAACAATCTCATCCCACAAGCAAGCAAATCAAACACAATACAGCAACCTTGGTACACATCATTTCCCCTACACACACACACACACACACACACAGAGCTCTGCCTAAGAGGCCCGAGCAGACGAACTGCACTGCACAGCACACTGCACTACACTCACCGCTACGCTCCTGGGAAGCTTAGCCAGTGCAGCTGAGTAAAGCACTCTACAGCTCTTTCCCACTGTGCTTTACCAGCTTTGACTCAGCTAGCCTCGCACCATGCCTTCTCTGCAAGATAGAAATCCCTGCTTTCTGAACGAGGAAACAAACTTCCGTTAAGTGATTTGCTGATGGCTGCACAGGGCAGTCTGTGGAGGAATCAAGAAAGAACGCAAGCCTAACTCAACCCTGCATGTTTAGCCACACACGTTCATTCCCCATATCCGCCCAAGCTTTTGTTCATGTATCCTGAAAACTTTGTTTGTTAGTAATCACACTCATACACACAAGCAGTATTTACCAGAAAAAAAAAAAAAAACCACAGAAGAGGTCAATAATTTTTAAGTGAGAAAAATAAAATATCTGTATTTCAACAAATACTGAAAACTCATTTTGATACAAAATTAATCTACTGCTTATTCGGCAGTATTTCAGTCAGTTAATTGTCAAACAAAAACATTGTCACAGCACTAAAAAAACCTCAGTGAACCACATGTTCTGAACATGGACAAACATTCATATAAATAGTGGCTAACACAAAAAGGAAATAAATAACTAGCATTGCTGGCTTCCTCTGATCTTCAACAATCTTTCCCAACATCATCTACGGCAGGTGGTAGTTTGAATGAGAATGAAATTGGTCTGTGCCGGAAAGACTTCTCTCCCGAGACTGCTTCACTATTTGCAACTTGTTTTAATATGTAGACTTGGTTAGGTGATGGGAAAAATTCAGTGCAGCCACTTTCCCTTTCTTCCTCAGGTCGGTCTGGCCGGCTTCTTGGAAGTGTTACAAGTGAATAGTGCAAAGAATAGCTGCTACTGCCTTATAGGAAGGCAGACCTCCTTTCTTTCAAGGGACTCCTGTAACAGAGCACAAACAACTCCAATTAGTCACAGGACTTTTACAGGAAAGTCATCGCTTGGGAGTTCCCAAAAACCAATTTTGAAGAAAAAAATTAAACTCAAACTATCTCATCCCACAAGCAAGCAAATCAAACACAATACAGGCTTTTTCAGTCCATTCCACCAAAGGCTTCAACACGCATTAAGACACTGCAAGCGTGAGCCCTGCAGAAGCTGTCCTGTCATACGTGTAGAGTAATGAAGCCCAAAGAAAATCCACAAAATTCAAAGATGAAGTGTTAAACACCAAAAAAAGCACCCAATGGTCTCAAGCCCCAGTTTCCCACCAGCCATTAGAAACGATTCTTCACCTTCTCTGAAAGAATTGTGACCCAGGCTATGGAAGATATCAAACTATACAGAGAGCTGCCGCTACCTGCCCAGGACCGAGAGGGCTAGTAGACAACACAGAGCAAGGAAGCTCCGCAACCAGCCTGCCAGACCCTGCACGAGGAATTTACTTTGGCTTCTAATGCAAGTGTTTAGTGCTCACACACATAACCCTCTTTTCACCAGTAGTTGCCCAGGCTTCTCCTGTCTCGCAAACCAGGACCCTCTGTTCTTATACAGGTCTCATTTTTAGGAGTCAAAGCTACAGAGTACTACTGATCAGGGACGTTACTAACAGGCAGTTGCAAGGACTAAAAGGCTGCTAAGTGTTTGACTTAATGGCTTATATATACATAATTTTACCATGCAGACATAAACCACCACCACCACCCACACACAATCAAACTAATCTATGATTAACTGGTGATTGCAGAACTCTGCATCCCCAGGGAACAAAAGTCAAGACCATTTCAGTCCCCTTCCAGGTCACGATTCATTGGCTAAGCTGTGCCACAGACGAACGCATCTCTGGTTCTCTTTTCTTAGGCAAGAAATACAAGATTGACGGAGCAGTTACTAACACATCGCCTTCTCATGTCCTCCTCCTCTTCCTGAAGCGGGCACTTCTCCTGATTGGAGGAACACTGGCATCAGTCACATCAGTGCAGGAGCCCAAGGTGGACTGTGAAGCCATCTCTTCAGCATCCACGCCCTGCAACACAAACAGAAGACACTACCTTCACAATAATGCAACATCTGGCCCAGGTGTCCAAGACAAGATAGGCTATCAGGCAGTGAGGAATTGCTGGCGACTTTTGGACTAGCTGCTCTCAGTTCAAACTAAACTGAACTTGACTCAGATGCAAAAGTCAGAGCTGCAATGGAATGACAACTGCTAGCTTCTACTATGGGAAAGCTCCGACTTCCTAGGCTTATTTTTATCAGCTGCAAAGCTACGCTTATTCAAAAGAACCATTAAGGACCAAATTTCTGTTCTGCTGAGATCAACAGGGAACCCCCTTGGATTCCAGTGGGAGCAATGTTTAGTTGGCAATAGCTTTCTGCTTTTAGTATATGACACCTCTGTTTTACCTGATTTGATAAGTCAGCATCCTCGTCTCCAGGCTCAGCACCAGCTGTCCCATCCAAGTGTACACCTGTTAAGTCTTTCCCGCAGCTCTCTTCATCTGCCACTTCCTTCTCACTCTGCCACTCTTCTTCATCACTCTCTCTGTATTGCCTCCTGCTAGCTGACAGGGTTGTTGTCACTTTTGGAGGAGGCAGAGTTGCTAGCACAGCTGGGAGTGTAAATGCTGCTAAGAATCTGGCTTTCAATAGGAGATAAGCAGGGTTATCACCAAGTTTCTGCTGCACCAATTCTCTGATAGCATGCAAGTCATCCCCAGCCTCCTCATCCTGACTTACATCAGCAGGCAGAAGACAGGCCGCCTGCTCTTCTAGAGCTGCCTTCTGCAGAAGTAGCTTTGAGAGGGTTTTTAAATTGCAAAGAAAAGGTGGCAAATAAGGCAGCCTGGTTTGCAGTGATGGTACCTGGACACCTTGCTTCCCATTCAGCCACTCCTTCACTAGCACCTCATCTTCAAGGGAAATCAGACTAAAGTCAAGCAGATTCTTTTCCACACTGGAAGTTGTTGGCTGTGGCGGACTGTCAGCAGGCTGTGCTGTTGGTGGTTTGGAGGCAATAGGCCTGTTTTTCAATAGTTGGGCAGCGAAGCAATCAGAGTTACCTGGGACCTTGCTACGAGGAACTGGATGTCTTGGCTGGAGCCCAATTGCATTCGTGGTGACATTTGGATTGGAAGGTGATCCATCTATGGTAATGGACTCACGGCTCTTTCCCAAGCTCATGGGACTTGGCACGGAGTGGGAATCGGACCCTTGAGTGCTCGCAGGTGGCTGTGTTTGTGGCAGCAACACAGTACGCAGGGTTGGTGCATCAACTGGAAAAGCAGCCTGAGTTGCAGAGGATTCAGAAATTTTGGAGAAGCCATTTGAACATGCAAGTGTTGCAGAAGTGTCCGATGAGCTGCATCCAGGATGGGCTGAGCTTGTAGGTAAAAGCAGTGTGGAAGGGTTTAAATCAACTGTCTTTCCCAACAGTACCCCTTCAGCCAATTGAGGACTTGGTGTTTTGGCCCCTGTACTGCTAGGGGGAGACACACTTGCTCCAGCTGGTACAGGAGGCATTCCTAAACCACTGGAACCCTTGCCATTAAAAGTCACACTTGCCTGATTTTGACTTCTCACAGTCGCAGCCGGCAGTCCTTGAACACCCACCACAGTCTGCACAGAGGTGGGAAGCAAAGCCTGTGGTGTTACAAGCCATGTGATAGGCAAAATGCTGTTATTAATCAAAGGAGAACCGGTTTGTGGGGTTACAAGAGCAGGCAATAGATTGACTGGCCTCTGCTGTGGCCCACCACCATTCAGCTCACAAGTAGCTGGTGTGGAAAGAGAGAGTTGTTTCTTGCCGGACTCTATGCCAACAGGCACCACTGTAATTTGATGTGGCACAAAAGCTTGGTTTTGCAACACTACTGGAGATAAGCTACCACCTGTGACCTGATAACTCCTCCCTCCCAGATCTGGGGCCTTTTGCACTGTAGCTGGATTCACATCCAGAAAACCCCCTCCTTTAGGGTTACTTCCAAAAGCTTGCTTGTTTAGTTCCTTATTGGATTGTGCTTTTGTCCCTTGGGAGGAACCAGGTACTGGTTCCACTGCTTCTGGTACTGGTGAGGAATGGTTTTCAAGCACAACGGGGGTAGAAGTTGAACCTGCAACAGAAGTAAACGCTGGCAACGGAACTGCTGCGTGCTGTACTTGGCTACCGGTACAACCAGCTGCTGCAAATTTGCTCCCTGCTTGGGCAGAAGGAATGATCTGGTGTGGTGGATGCTGGATTATCATAGGCCCCGAAAGCAACATCTGTGGGGCAACGAATACTGTTCTCTGCATAGGTTTCTTAGCCCTGGATTCCCTTAGCCGCTTCTCCCTCAGCAATTCTGAGACAGTTTTAGGCTTTTGCCTTTGAACTTGGGTTGGATAAGCTGCCTGCATGGCAAGAGCAGGAGTGCTGCTCTCCAGGTCAGCAATGGAAGTCTCCTTTGCTTTTAAGGCACCAGATCTCCTGATAGTGTTCTTTGGTACGCCCCTTTGGGAGTTCCTCTGAGTGCAAGGGTGCGATGAATTGCCTACAGAGGATGGAGGAGGGGGGGAAAAAAAAATTGAACAGTGTTTTCAAAGAACCAAAAGACTTTAGAAGCCATTCCTCAGCTATTAAATATAAAGTACTCTGCACAAGCAGAAGCAAAATTCCCATTTGAAAGAGACAGGGAGTTCCTGCAACACTACAACATGGATTTAATCAAGCCCTATTCTGAGGTCCTTCAGAGAATACTGATACAGCAAGCTCAGCAATTGACAGCAAGCTCAGCAATCGCTCAGTATTGACACAAAATATTTTCCTAGAAATCATATACAGGCTAGGAATGCACCTTAACACTACACATGAGCAAGTGTACTGGTCAGCATGACACAGGCACTCCACACCAGCCAGGATAACAACAACAAACTGGGGTTTTGGTCTGTGCCACCATGGTCACTACAGCGCACAGCCAACACCTTGCTGGAAGAGAGCGTCACAGGGATAGTCTGCAGAACTGGTGCCACAGTGCCATGGGCTCCCCCTTTCCCTTCAATATTTTTGCCACTCCTTACCAAAGGGGTAACATACTTAGCCAATAACTGAAAAATCTAAGAGCTAGCCAAAACGAGCAATGTGGTTTTGTTCCAAAAGCTCTCCTTCAGTTAAACTGGTGCTTAACGTAATGGTGATGAATTAAGTGAAAGTCCTTGTAAATCATAAAAATAAGTGTTCTGGTAGGTACCTGAAGAAGTCTCCGTATTTTGGGAAGCCTGCCAAAAAATAATAAATTATACTCTGAGATATCTAAAGATCATTAAAACAGCATAGACATGAATCAAACCCACACTTGCCAACATTCTATACAAATGACCACTCAACCAGCATTTTACTGTGCTTCTGAACCAAAGCAAGCTGGTAACACACGCACACGAACAGCAGCACCACTTGCCTACAGGCAGTTGAAAACGTCTACTTGAATTGAGGCTTAAGCAGGAAAAGGATTAGAAACAGAGCACATGCAATACCTGCTGAGGCCTTCCCGCGTTAGCCTTAAGGAGCTCTGACTGCCTTAACCTTCTCTCACGAATAACCTTCATGCAGCCACTGGTATCAATCTGAAAGAGCTACAAGATGAGAGTTGCATTAAAGTTCGATTCAGAGCAAAGATGTTCTGATGGAGCTGGAGACAAAACAAGATAGATGGGAGAAGGCTTCACATGAAAGATTCTGGGGACGTTCTTACACTTACAGAAACGTCCTTGACCGGTATTAGATTTTGGGTATAGGATTTCAGAAACGTCGTACGTAAGCCAAGAGGACAGACTAATCCAGTAATTACATAAACAAAGTAAGTCACAAAGATAAACCATTTGTTTAAGTATCAGATACAGAAACAAAAATCACCACTGTTCTGAAGCAGAGAACGCCATTAAGACAGTAAAACCTACCTGAATGAAAAGGGTGAACAGGGGAGTGCTCGTGAGACTGATGGACCTTGTCTTCTCCTGAATAGCATCGGCTAGGAAAAAGTCCAACATGAAAATTAGCTGGGCATTGACTTACAAGATGTCAGGAAGCGCGGGCAAGAAGTAGGAGCGTCCTACCGTTGGCGGGTCACCTCTACCTTTAGTCTGATGAAAAGCCATCTTCCCAGTTGGCAAGGTGCAAGGCAGCAGTACATTGCCTACCCAAGGTGTCACAGCCATTAGAAGCCTTCTGTCAAGGTTTATTCTTTTCAAACGCTCTCTCTCTTGACGAGAGGTTTTCTCCATGCTGTCCTGCAGCCCCTGAGGCCTCTGGCCAACAGATGTACTAACTCCAGATAATTTTGTTGAAGCGGTGGCAGAAGGTTTTACTATCTTTGATTGCTGTGCATGAATAAAAAAAAAATAATTAGGGTTCCAATTAGCAAAGTTCTACCATAATTACTCCCAGGACAGACTATTCACAGGACTCCACAGAATGCACAACAATTACGAAAAAAGTTATGAGCTTTTTGTCCTGGACCACAGCACAAGATCTGTTATTCTATCAAACAACATTTCCCATTATAAACAGGCAGGCAGCGTTCCCATTGCAAGAGCAGACAAGACAAAAAGCACTTACGTGTTTTCTCTGAAAGCATGTGTTTTTTCTTAATACTCTTCTCACATCCTCCAGAGTAACTCGTAGCACTTGCTTTCCACATCTGGAAGCCTGGGAAAAAAAAGCATACAAAAAGAGATAAAAGGGAAAGTATCCCATAGGAAATTACTTATGCTGACATTACAAAAAGAAGGTACAAAGTTTTCAATGTTCCTGCTATTGGAAGTATCTTCTTACATTAAATTGGCCCTGAAGTACAGATACTTATCTTATTATTTAGTCCTTGTGCACTATCACAATACCAAACGTCTGTTTTGTAAAAGCCCTCCTGTGAGGTACCTACAAAACCCACACGTTGAGGGTCGGTATTTATTGTATGATTCTCTTCGCATTTTTTAGCTTAACAGTACCAGAGAAAGACAAAGGGCAAAGCTGCTCACACCTCCCTAAACGTCTATTTGTAAAATAATGCTGTATCTGTAATCAAACCCAAAGAGTCTTTACATCAGATAGGCACTCACAACCCTTGCATACCATAACCCCCATCACACACTACCTCTGTAACCAATAAAGTTGTCATCAGTACAATTGGCCCTGCAGTCTGTGGCCATTCGTGCAGTTCTTAACGCGAAGATCAGAACGTTTTTGCTTATGTGAACTTAAATAGCAATTTTGACATTAAAGTATTTTGCTGAGCAGCACCTTTCTGCAAAAACGCGCTAGGAAGGTTTGGTATTGTTTCAGTGCCTGATCTGGGATTAAAATCCAGCTCGAAATCAGGTCTATATGTATAGCAAACCTAATTCTTTCAAGCTCTATGGCAATACACCCTAGCCATCAGGGTAGGGAGACTGACCACAGTTCACCAGACAATTTTGCTTCTACGAAGATTTTGAAAAAGTTTTGTTTCTGTGACACTATGGATAAGAAGGATGACAGGTATCTTCTAGAAAATGAGGAGGGCTGACAGGGCCTAGTGCTAGATGTTTTGTTTAATCCCACAGCTCAGTTTCCAACAGCACCCCCCAATGGCATAGTGAGAAAGCAGCTAACAGAAGTACAAAGGAGATTTTGCCATCTACTTAGATCACTCGCTCCCTATACTACAGCAACCGCACTTCCTGGTGGTTTTTGATCTAAGCTCCAACCCGACCGACAACAGAACGAGGATCCCCACATTCACCTTGGTCACTTCTTCCATGGGATTCTTCACAATGATGTCAGTTGAATGTGGATGCGCAATGCCCCTCAGGATGGTGTTCAACTCTGCCGATTTATCAGCGACTCCATCCCTGCCTCCATCAAATGGTGCATTTGGAACTTCATTGTTACTGATCTTTGCATCAGCACTTACAGAAGAGAAAAGGGATGAAGTTTGGCATCTTCCTTTGTCTGACTCCTGTGGATTTGTCCGTGTTGGTATCCACAAATCAATGCTAGGAAATGTGCACTCCTCCTTGCTTGTCTCCTCCTCTGAACTGTCCGTTATCTCCAGTTCTATGTCTTCACTGCTACTCTCAGAAGAGCTGGAACTTTCTCTGCACCCGTGCTGGCGTTTCCTTGGCCTATGTCTTTCTTCCTTAGTTAAGAGAGCACAGACAAGCCTTAGCCAATGCCCTGAAATCTGGCAAATCCCTCAAATTAGTACTGAAATTATTAAGTTACAAAGTTTTGTGCAGCAGTATCCTATCAGTAAGCTGTGGTTTCCAAACAGATAGTTCTGCTTTACTTCTAAGATTAAACCAAATCTTTTGACCCAGATTTTGATTGGTTCAGACTCTTGCACGCAAAGAAAAAGCTACTGGTGGAGACAAGCTAGTGTTAAGATCTGGTACATGCAGAAGAAAAAGCCAAGCACAGTTGTCCCATCGCCACACATTCAGGCATCCAGGAACCCTTCCCCAGGACCAGAAGCCAGTCTTTGGAAACGCACATCCAGCAGCTCTATATCTGGGATCCCGTACTGCAGAACAGATACCTGTGGGTGCTTTGCCAACGGAAACAGGACGATTTCTTAACAAGGCCTCCAAATAAGCAGTCAAAACTCTGGAGTGCCTTATACCAAAACTGGTAACTCATGAGGTACATACATGAAAACCTAGATATATCACATCATTATGAACATTTCAGGGCAATAAAGACATTCTGGATGGAGAGCAGATACTTTTAACGCTTTTGCCAATGAAGACCTTCAGAGCAAAGGCTGCCTTAATGCATCAAAAATTAAATATCCATGATAAAACCTTGATTGTGTGAAATCAGTGTCAGTTTCGCTATTGATTTCACTTCTAGTTTAGAGAACCTTATTTAAAAGGGATGGACCTGTGACCTAGCAAGATTTTTACAATACCTTAGACCCAATCAAGAGTTTCCACTTGCTTAGGCATTGGGAGCCAGTCCGATGTGACAGTTCAGAAGCTATTTTACTCCAGTGACCTAAAAAGGATGCAAAGTAGAGCAGACCTATTAATTCTACACAAACTGATGAAACACCACTCCTTTCCCACAAAATCTGGTGGACGTTAATTCTCACTCAGATTCAACTGAGAGGTTTTTCAATGAATAATCTTTTACAGATGTTTAAAACACTCAAAAATCATAACGTTTCCCAAGCTGCTTAGTGAGATGTTGCATATTCTCAAATCAAGAGAGCCAGACAGTGACTGATCTCAGATTGGCATCAAGTTGTCATGCTATGTGTCATTTAGGAAACCTAAGCCACCTTGCTTTAGGAAGTATTTGATTTTCACATAACAGAACTTATATACATAGCTTCATGGAAGCGTTTGAACAAGATCCCTGCACTTCAGTGCCACACCAATCTAAGTGAAAACAACGGTCTGACAGGGGTAGTGCAAGCGTGACATTACATAAAAGAGACAGTTATCTCAAAAGAGGCTTGGAATAGTTCATATCCTTACAAGCCTTCTCCTAGTTTAAAATTATGCTTCTATTGAGCTGTTAAAAGCGTCTTTTCTCTTGGTGGTGCCTAAAAGGATCAGGCAGAAGAACTTGTTCACCTACACTGATAAACTTAAACTGACCATATGCAAAGAGAGAAGGGCTGTGAAACTCAGAGTGCAAGAATAAGGACTAAGAAAAAGAGATCAAGAAAATTTCTTTCATCTGAAATAAGTTGAAGGCTTATTTGTGGCAATATGTAAAAAAAAAAAAAAACTTACATTATTCCAAAAGTGATAGGTCTTTTCAGTGCAGAGTATTATACACTTATTATACAGTACCTTGTATAAGAGAGAGAGTTCCTATATGAACGTATTTTAAATCCCCAGCGCTCATCTGAGGTCTTCAGACTTTGCACTACTATACGCTCAGCTAGAGTTAGACACTTCAAATAACCCAATGATGAAAATCCTCAATGGCACTATACATTCCTTTGCAGAAGGAAGAGAGCTTTTAGAAGAAAGTTAAGAGTGAATGCTGAAAAGTTTCTATTTGTTAAGGAAAAGAGCCTTAGAGACAGTGAGAGAACAGAACTTTTCCCAGGCTGTGTTTCTTCTCTGATAAGCTCCCCTCCAAACAACCAGCCATTAAGAGCTATAACAAATACGGCTATAGATCTCTATTACAACCCCTCAATAATTGACTTTCCAGAAATAGGCTACATAATATAAGGAAGGTTGCGCTCATCAGTAGGATGCGAAGACTAGTAATGTCAGCCGCAGGATTTTAATTAAAATAGAAACGAAGGCAACTCAAAAATACTCTAAGCTTTTAAAGATTAAGCCACAGCAACACTTACCCAGGCCATGCTTTTGCACCAGTTCAATTAGCTGTTCCTCTTCCTCTAAACTCCACCTGCCTTTCTTTACATCATAGTGCAATGCTTTTAAGTACCTTCAAAATGAAAGCATTAAAGCAAGGATCAGTCAACCCTGTTTGTACAGTTCTGATTATCAGCGCATAACCTAAAGCTGAACAAAGAAAGCGTCCTTATCAGGTCTTTCCTCTTGCCATCCCTACTCCTACTTAACACAACACCTCTACAATCCTTTTGTTCTCAACAATACCAGGCCACATGACTAAGAGAATTACAGCAAGCAGCTGTAAAACAGGTCACTGGAATTAGGACAAACTCCGATAGTCTCCTCCAGTCAGTTCCAATGCTGACAATCACTTAGCACCTCTCTCGCCATTGGTGTTCAGTTACAGGCAGTCACGGACTAGATCAGTTTCACAGAAACACAGACAAAATACGACCTTCTCTCTTACCTTCACTCACTCAGGTTTGATGACCCCTTTGTTTCGTCTGGTGTAAAAGCAAGGTTTGATTTGTAAAATAAGCTGCATCTTAGCTCTCAGTAAGATATTTGAAAGCACAGCTACTACATTTAGTATACTGACCGATCTCTGCACTGAGCATCGCTTCTTCCTGGTACTTCTGTCCGAATTTTATACCAGTCACGGGCTCCATACTTCTTAACTGCGCTCAACAACATCTATGTTAATCAGACAAAGCAAAGAGTTGAAATTTTCACCAGTAACAACGCTAACAGACCTGAGACAGCAGCAGTTGTATCTATTTCCACACTGTAGTAAATCTGGAAACAGAAGTGTTCGGGCGCTTATAAGCCCTCCTGACTTGTTAACTGCCTGTCTTGGTCCGTTTTACACTCTTTTGTGCCGCTTTTAAAGCTTAGGTGTATGCGGATATGCAGCACTGCAACAGTCTCACCCTCCCATGTTTTGCACCATGCAATTCTAGATATCAGAGAAAGGAGCTTACAGCATCTTCCTCGGGCGCCCAGGGTCCTTTCTTTAAACTGGGATCTACGCTCTTGGTCCATCGGTAAATCAGTTGAGTAGAATCTCTTCCTTCCATGTAATAAGCAACTAGAAATTTAAAAGTATAGATCAAAGTCTGTTGCAGACAGTGTTTCTTTATTTACTTACGTTGTGATATTTTCAAACAGTGGACTGCCGTAAGTATTTAAATCTCAGTGTAAATACTTAAATAATGATATACAAGAATCAAAAAAGCATAGCACACACAGAACGTTACCATTTATAATAGCATTATCCATTATTAGACACACAGTGACAACAATCTACCTTGCAACGCCTCAGAACTAAGAAAGGTTTCAGCTCCAATACAGATCTGACAGGTGCATGGCATCAAGTGTTCCATTTACAGGCATGGATTTAGGACTTTAGATAGCTGGTTACAGATCTCAGCTCTACTCCTCAATGATCATACCACCTCCCACGCCTGTGGGACAGCAGTACTGACCACCTAGAAAAGGCTTTTGGACATAGCAGTGAAAACTGGCATAGCAGCTGACTGTAAATAAACTCTGACTACCTAAAGAACCCTGACAGCCTCTCTACAAAAAAGCAAAGTTCACACAGACATCAGTACTTCCTAATAACTCTCAGCCAGTTTGAAGCAAATTTGGAACACGGATAAAGATGCCAAGAGATATTAAGTTCTTGCAGATATAACGAGATCTGCCTGTAGGAAAAGGAAAGGCACT